CACACACACACACACACACACACACACAAATAAAATTAAAAAAAAAAAACTTTGTCATTAGATCAGCAAACAAACTTGTTATTTGTCCCAATGTAAAAAGCAAAATCAACAAAAATCCTCTCTTCACCTTGCTTTTGCTTCTTCATTTATGCCCTTAAGTCTCTTTTTTGGTATATGATTGTTGTTTTATTCAGATTAAGCAAATGACCACATCAGTACAAGTGTCACACTTAAGTCTCTTTAGAGCAAAACTTCTTGAAAGAATCGTCTTATTGGGGCCAGGGAGATGGCTTAGAAGAATAAGTGCTTCCCTGGCAAGGAAGTGCTTCCCTGAGTTCAATCCCCGGTTCCGCAAAAAAAAAAAAAAAAAAAAAAAAAAAATTGTCTTATTACTATAGTTTTTATGCCATCTCGTCGCTCACTTTTTGGTTTTGGTTCTGAGGCAGTCTTGCTATGTAATTCAGACTGGCCTTGAATTTGCTGAATTACCCAAGCTGGCCTCAAACTTGGGATCCTCCTGCCTCATCCTCCCAAAAATCTAGGGTGATAGGTATGTGCCACCACATCCAAAAATTGTGTCTCACTTTTTTAAAAAACTGTGATACCTGGGCATGGTGGTGTGTTTCTCTATGGTAATTCTAGCACTCTGGGAGACTGAGGCAAGAGGATCACAAGGTTAAGCCCAGCCTGGGCAATATAGCAACTTTTTCTTATCTTTTTGAGACAGTGTCTCACTATGTAGTTCAGGTTGGCTTTGAGCTCACTTTGTAGCCCAGGCTGGTCTCTAACTCACAACAATCTTTCTGCCTCAGCCTCCGAGTGCTGGGATTACAAGTGTGCGCCACCATGCCCAGCTTGGGCAATATAGCAACTTGGTGAGAGCCTGTCTCAAAAATAGTTTTTAAAAAAAATCACTGGACTATAACTACATGTGAAGGCCTGGCTTCATTTTCTAGCATCAAAAGAAAAAAATTGTGATAAAGTGTACATAGAATGTTGGGCATAGTGGTACATGCCCGTAATCCCAGCACTTGGGAGGCTGAGGCAGGAGCACTGCCATGAGTTGAAGGCCAACCTGGACTACACAGTGAGTTCCAGATCAGCCTAGATTACACAGTAAGATCCTGGATTACACAGTGAGATCCTGTCTCAAACTTAAAACACGCACTTGCACACCCATAACATTTACCATCTTAACTGTTGATAAGTGTAGAGTTCAGTAGTGTTAACTGTGTTCACGCTGTTGTGTAACTGATGTCCAGAAAGCTTTCCTCTTGTGAAAGAGGAGCTCCGTGTACCTCGGGCTGTGACTCTCACTCCTCCCAGCCCTTGGCGTCTACCTTGTACTCTTTTTTTTTTTTTTGGCAGAGCCAGGGATTGAACTCAGGTCCTTGTGCTTGCCAGGGAAGCGCTTATTCTACTGAGCCATCTCCCTGGCCCCCTCCTTGTACTCTTTATCGCTGTGAATGTCACTACACTTGGTACTTCTTCAAAGGGGAATCAGGGAGTGTTTGTCTTCCTACAATAGCCCGCTGGCTGCAGTGAGCATAGTTCTTCCAGGGCTCATGCATGCTTTAGCATGCGTCAGAATCGATCTCCTTTTCAGGGCTGAATAATCTTCCCCTGTAGGCATGTTCGTGTTTGGTGCATCTGGTTGGCTGTTGTCAGACCCTGGATCGCGTCCACATTTTGGCCGCTGTCCTGTCCCGTGAAGCACATCCCCCCCTCCCTGCCCAGGGTCCCTGCCCAGGTGTCCAGGAGCTGCTATGTTGTTCTTGCCAATGGCCACCAGCGCGGTGGGTACAGCTGTTCACATTCGGTTCCTTGAAGACGTCTCCCCTCTGTTTTCAGGACCCTCCTGTCTTCATTCCTCTTCGAAGTACACAGAAACTCCGTCCTTTGGGCGCTCAGACCCAAAGCCCAGTGTCTTCTCAGCCTCCTGCACGGCTCATCTTCCTGCCTAGAAGACGCTGCTAGGCAATCTCAGAGTGTGCGCTGCCTGCCACCCTTGCCCGCACCGCTGTCCCTGTCCTTGGGGACTCGTGGTCCCTTTGCTGGGCTCTCAGCGTCTGTCCTTATGTCCCTCAGCCTGCTCTCAACTCAGAGCCAAAGGGTCCTTTGAGCACAGCCTTAAGTCCTGCGCAGAGCCCTTGAACAGCTGCCACTGCGCCCCCCGCCCCCAAGCGCTCATAGCGGCAGAGCCCACGTGACCCGGCTCCTCTTCCGTTTCCTCTCCCCTCTGACCCGCCCCTGAGCCCTGGCCTCTGTGCTGCTTCTCTGATTGGCATCTTGGGGCTTTTGCACCTGCAAGTCCATGCCCTGAAACGCTCTGCTCCGAACATCTGCAGCAATCAGACCCTCACTCCTTCCGCCCTCCCGGTTCCTGGCAACTCACCGGGCAGCACATGGTCCATGCTGTCCTCTGCCTTCCCTGCCTTAGTTCTGTGTACCGCTGTGATCCAGCACGGGGTGTATTTTGTGTATGGCTCTTGTTTAATGACTGCTGGAACTAGAAGTTCAACTCCAGGAGGGCAGAGCTTCCGTTCTATTCCTGCCACGTTCCTAGCGCCTTGCCTGGCACAGACAGCCAAGTGTTGAACCAGAAAGGGAAGTCTAGAAAATAGAGGTACAGGGCTGGCCAAATAGCTCAGCAGATTAAAGCGCCTGCAAGCAGGTGCAGGGGATGGGGTTCAATCCCAGGGCCTGCTGTGCCAGCCCGCCCTGGGGGCACGCTGAGATGGCTATTGAGACTAGGCATGGTGGCCTGCACCTGTAATCCCAGCACTTGTAAGGCTGTAAACAGATGGATCACTACAAGTCTGATCTAGTAGTGAGACCCTGAACACCCTGTAGGCTTTTCCCTAAAATACAAAATAAATAAATAAATAAAATAGAGATACTGTGCAAAATTTTTGTTTGTTTGAGATAAGGCCTCACTATGTAGTCCAGGCTGGCCTTGAACTGGTGGCAGTCCTCCTGCCTTAGCCTCCGAGTGCTGGGATTACAAGTGTTTGCTACCATGCTTGGCTCCTAAAGTTCAATTTTTGCCTGCATTGTTTTAATCTGTGAGTGATTTCGTATGTATAGATATAAGATCATGAAGATACATGGGGGGAGTGCAAGAGAGCAATTGTAAATGCTGCAGGAGCCTCCCTTCCACTTAAAGTTGCAGGTTTTGTCCTAATTACTGCTTGTTAAACTGCTGCAAAATGTTTCACTGAGTGAATGTAACAGCTTTCTTTAACCTGTTGCTTTGTTCTGTGGGAGTGAGTGGCTTCCAGCTTTTGGCTGGAGTATGTGACTGGGCAGTGCCAGTCTGTGCTGGGCATTTGCCCTGCCTCAGCCTCTCCTCCGAGCCCCATTCTCCTAGGCTGAGTGGAGAGTCTCCACCACCTTGCTGGGGTGAGCAGACCAGGCTGGACGCCCAGAAAGGCAGCCCTGGGCGTCATGGGGTTGTTGTACTCAGAAGTGACAGGGCGTGGCTTGGGGGTCCTCTGTCAGTGTGACAGCGTGGGGAGCACATGGGCTTCTGAGCCTGCAGCTGTCAGTGCTGCTCCTGTGGCCAAGCAGCAGCCAGCCACGCCTGTTCCCTGGAGGCTCCATCCTCGCCCGCTCTTTGTCCTTAGCCCTCCCGAGGACACTGCTCCGGCTGGCACATACGTAGGCGCAACGGTGAGTGGAGACCTGGAGTCATGCCTCGGGCAGGCGCTGGCATCGCCACCTGCGAGACTGCTTGCTCTGGGCAGTGGGGCTGGAAATAATCCCACCCCAGCCCTGTGTGTTGTTTTGCTGTGATGGTGCCAGAGTCCTGAGGGTGTAACGGGAGTTTCAGATGGAATTAGCGTAGGGCCAGCAATGAAAGCTGAGCCCAGGCCAATCCGTGCACGCGCTGCAGCAGCCACGTGCCTGTTTGGTGAGCAGTGAAGCCAACAAAATGTTGGGGGCTTGCAACTCCAAGGAAATTATGCAGAGGGAAATCTGCTTGATGCTGTGCGATCCTCGAGTCAGGCACGTTCAGAGACAGGCAGCGCATGGGAGCATGTGGAGTTGTGGCTGAAGAGGGAGAGCAGGGAGTGGGGGCTCTTGGATGCAGAATCCCTTTCAGAACCAGGGATTGAACTCAGGCCCTTGCGCTTGCCAAGGAAGCACTTATTCCACTGAGCCATCTCCCTTCATACCCTTAAAAGTGATTGAAGTGGTAAATGGTGTGTTTCTCTCTCTCTCTCTCACACACACACAGAGATAAGAGGAGGTGAAGGATGCATACATGTGTATGCGTGCCGTGGTGTTCCTGGGTTTTGTCTTCTGCATTGGAGTTACATCAGAGGAGAGGAGTTCACAGTGAGAAAACAGGTGAAGGCCCCAGAAAAATAGGTGTGGTTGCATGCAGTCTTCTCAAGGTCCCAGAGGTGTGGCAAGGAGGACCCCAGGCAGGGAGTGTGTCGAGGAGGAGGAGGGGGAGGGGAAAAGGAGAGGGAGGAGGAGGATGAGGAAGAGGAGGAGGGAAGGAGGGAGAGGAGGTGGAGATGTGCCCTGGTTTCCTTGGTGACTTTGGGCAGGGCAGCCCAGACCCGGGTCCCCTGGGCACAACTGGGCACTGGAGCCTCTGTGAGTCACAGTTCAGCCAAGGAACAATGGCGTGCAAGGGCTGGGCTGTGACTCAGAGGTCACCACTGTGGTGACCTTCCATCCCTGGTTCTGTGCCTGCCCCTGAGGGAGGGCAGGCAAAGTTCCTTCCTGAGCAGGTCCCTGGGAGGGTGCCCAGGAGCCCAGCGCCTGTCCAGGCTCCTGCTGCGTCTTGGCTGGAATCATGCGGAGCAGTAGCAGCTGCCCTGACAGAGCGCTGGCCACGTGCTGGCCTGGCCACCCGGCTCTGCAGCCGCGCTCCCACTGGGTTGGCTCATCCTGTCAGTCCTGGAGGGGAAATGGGCTCCTGGGGCAAGCACCTACCTTGGGCCACAGCCTGATGTCAACCTGTGGCTGACTCCGAGCCCGGTCCTGCCCCTACATGCCTGCACACGTGCAAGGGTGTGACAGCTCTTGGGCATGGCTTCCAAGAAGCCTTCACATTTTTACTTGTGTTTGTGAAAAAAGGTAGAAAATACAGAGAATTGGGCTGGGGGTTTAACTCAGTAGTAAAAAGCCTTCCTGGCCAGTTCGAGGTCCTCAGTTCAATTTCTGATACTCCTCCCCCCGCTTTCTGCCCCCCTCAAAAGAAAAAGAAAATACAGGGAATATTTCATAATAAAAAAAATGTCTTTAGATGTGCTGTGCTTTAGTGTTTCAGGGATAGTTTGCATGCCTCCTTTGGGGTTCTGTGGAGTGGCTGGCATGAGCCAAAACACTCGGGTGTCATGTGTTGCTCGCTGTGCTACTGGCTGGGCCAGTGAAGCCTGTGTAAATCTATAATGTTTCAGAAAGACCACACTCATTTGACTGAGTTGCCGTAAATAGTAAAATATAAAATAGGTTCACTGTGGATTGTCCCTTGATGGAACAAGCAAGCAGTAATGCACATTTTTTAGGCATTCTTTGTTGTTCTGAGTGCAAAAGAAACACACCCCCAGCCGTTTTTTTGTGATAGGGTCTCAAGAAGTAGTTTAGACTGGCCTTGGATTCACTGTGTAGCCCAGGCAGACCTGGAACTCATGGTGATCTTCCTGCCTCAGCCTCCTAGGATTACAGGTGTGTACTACCATGCCTGGCTAAGAAACACCTTTTGTTTTTTGCGGTACCAAGGATTGAACTTGGGACCTTGCAATTGCCAGGCAGGCACTTAAGCCTGCTGAAGTATCTCCCCAGCCCAAGAAACACCTTTTGTAGAAAGAGATTTGCTCTTGGGCCGGAGAGATGGCTCAGTGGAATAAGCGCTTCCCTGGCAAGCACAAGGGCCTGAGTTCAATCTGCCTCAGCCGCCCAGCATGCTGGGATAACAGGTATGTGTGATCATCCTGACGTTATACCAGTGTCCTAACCTGGTGGCAGGACTCCCCGGCTCATCTGTGTGACCTTCCTCAGCTCCTCCCTGTCCTTCTGATGCCAACAGCAGAAAAGTAAGAAAAGAATGAAGGCTCCACTGTATGACCGTGACAGTAGAAAGCATTCATTCATTCATTCATTCATTCATTCATTCATTCATTCATTCATTCATTCTGTAGGTGTGCATTGCGTGGCCTGCTGGCTGGAATTGACTTTTCTAGGTGGGCTACTGAAGAAAGATTCGGAATGAGTTGACCCTTGAAGTTGTCTGACACGTGGCGCATGCGTGTATTCTACTCTTTCTACTCCTGTTTGCTAGAACTCCTACATTTGAAAAGCTGATGTACTGTATATATGAACTCACAGACCCTGTCACACCATAGTCGCGTACCTTGAGCCAGGACTCAGGGAGGCCTCAGTACTGGGAGAGCCTGGGTGGCCCACACTGTCTCAGACTCTATCTGGAGCCAGACGCTCAGCCAGGAAGTGGATGTTCTCACAGACACACAAGACTAAGAAACGAAGGGCAGAGATGCAGAAACCTGCAGTGCAGATCCTGTTCTGCCTAGTGCGGGGGGAAGGACTGGAGTCCTCAGCTTGAGGGAGCACAGGGCAGATGCAGAGTCCCTGCTTGTGTTCAGGCCTAAGGAGGAAGACAAAGGGGTGTGTGTGTGTGTGTGTGTGTGTGTGAACGTTGACAGGTTCTCTGTGGTTCCTTTTCTGCTCAGACCATGGTCTGATAGGACTTCAAGGTAGACCAGTGCCCTTTATTTTTTTTTTTTTCAAAAATTTTATTTATTTGTGTGTGTGTGTGTGTGTGTGTGTGTGTGGCCAGCTCAGCTCACCAGGGGGCGGGGCGGGCTGGCATGTGGTGCTGGGGGATTGAACCGCGGTCCCTGTGCTTTGCTAAGCTTGTTCTAAGTAGGTGCTTTAGACCACTGAGCCATCTCACCAGCCCAGACCAGTGCCCTTTAGACTCATAGAGGATTTTTGTGGTGCACATTCAGAAAGATAACTCATTTCTAGTGGAATCCTCCAGTGATTCCTGATTGATTCTACTTAAAAAGCAAACATACCTATCCTGACCTGGCCCCCTACTGCCGCCCTCTGGTGCACTGAGCTGGCCACTGAGATGGGTGTGGTGACGCATGCCTGTAATCCCAGCACTGGGGAGGCTGAAAACAGGAGGCTCACTGCCAGTCTGAGCGGCATAGTGAGACCCTGTAGCGAATACATTAAAGAAAAAAAAAACCACACACAAACTTTTATTACCTCCACTACCATGCCCTCGCCCTCCTTGTCATGCCTTCTGGTCTCATTGGGTTCCAGCGATGTCTTGTCTTTCTCAATCTCCTCACCAAAATCCTGGTGGAGGGAAAACCCCCACACCTACTGTTTAGAAAACAGTGCCAAGTAATTCACTGTGTGCTTTGCT